TGAAATGGCGCAGGTGAGGCGATGTGGGCAGGGCGCCCGCTGTGTCTCTGCTACAGGTGTGAAAACACTTTTTATTCAAAACATTTCTTGGATGCTGAAGCCTGAGGGAGTACTGAACAATAATGCCTGAAAATGCCAGCTGACTAACATGGCTTTTAAAAACACGGGATTAAGTTGATCCAATCTTGTCTTTGTTATGCAAATAGATGGAATTGTTGGAGTTAATTTTCACATTGTAGCTTGTTGTTCTAGATTGTAAACCTAGATTCTGAGGTTTCAGAATTTCCTGCCATTCTAATGATCTCAGCTGATGAGGAAACTGATCTCAAAGATTTGGAAAAAAAAAAAGGAAAAAAAGAGAAAAATCACAGGAGTAAGCCCCCTAGGAAGGCACAGGATTTATCTGTCCAGCGATTAGAGACTAAGAGGTAAAGGACAGACAGAGGCCAGTTGGGACAGAAACATACCAGGGGAATAAGGAAAATATTAGTCCTGAGATTTGCTGAGTCGGCGTCTTCCTTTGAGAGATGTTGCTTCTCATTTTTACAACTTTAACTGGTTCTATTTATCATCAAAAGGCCCTGAGTCAACCTTTAAAAAACAAGAATCGCCACATTCCTCTGTCCACACTGGGGACTGACTAGTTTTTTGCAGAACTGATTTGACTGGTGACTAGACGGCGTCCTGCTACACCGTGGCCTTTCCTGGCCGGCAGGTGTGCCCTCCCACCTCAGCTTGGACTGAGCAGTAGGGAGGACCACACATCTGCTGCATGTGTCTTTAGCCTTCCGGTCTCTGTTTGCACATCTGGGGTCTTACTATTTTGAGTTAAGGGCAGATGAAGGAAATCCTGTCCATAATGATCATTTAACTCAGCCAGGACACGGTGTCTCAGACTGGGTATTACTGTAAACACTCAGACCTGATTTTCTGCCTGTTGCATCTGAAGTTTGCACTATTTAAATGCTTTTTATGGATTCCAGTTGCAACTGGTTACTGCATAGAGTTTTTCCCAGGAAAAAGAGGAAATAGTCCTAATGTAGCACATTGACTGCAGCTTGGCCACTCCACTCAGCCAAATAATGTTTATTTCTTCAGGTGTCAGGTGTCAGGAGGAAATGCGCATAAGAAAGAAGGAGGAAAGATCTTGAAGACAGGGCTCATGGCTCTTTTCCTGATTTGCGTTGTTTTGAGTCCCATCTCATTCTATTCTAAACGATGAAAAAGCTTCCCCAGGTTTTTAAAATGCATCTGCATCCATTCTCTTAAAACCCCATAAAACGGAATTGTGTGTTAGTTGATATTCAAGGAGAAATACAGGGAACCTCTCTAAGTGGTTCCAGCGGAAGGAATATAGTGGGAGGAATTGGTCACGTAGGTGATGGAGGCGCAGAGGAGGCAGGAGTGGATGGCCAACCAGTCGAGGGGTGAGCAACAGCTGGGGTATCATCATCCTGGACTGAAGGGACCAGATGAAGAGGCGGGCTCCTGGGATCTGAGGGCTGGCACTTTCCTGGTGGCAGCAGGGAGCATGACCGGCCTGTGTGGAAGAAGCTGGGGTGATACAAAGACATGGTGTCATGGGATTTGGTGCCCGACACAGAGAGGGAGAGAAGCACTGCAGCTGCTCCCTTGCTCACACCCTCCAAACGCTCATCAGTGCCTCCCATTGGCTGATCCTGCAGAAAGATAACTGATGCAGAGGTGATGAAATCAAGCTGGCAGGGTCGGCTTCCACCCTCTACCAGATGGGGAGGAGCATAGGACGAGGGCAAGGAGTAAATAAGAGGGTACCCAGAAAATTCACTGTGGGTTCATCCCATGTGGATATTGGAAATTAAGACTGCAAAAAGGAGTAATTTCTCAATGACTGATTGGCTCATGAGCCCAGTACTTTGGTTAATACTTGTTTTACATACTCTAATGCTTGCTATCATATGCCCCTTTTTTTTGGTTAAACTGTTGACTGATGGAGAATATATTATATTCTATGTCAGGAAAGATACTCTTCCAACTTCACAGTCGTTTATCGAGAACTTGTATGATGTCTTGGTATTACTGCCTACGAAAGGATTATGATCTGATTTCAGGACTTTTATTTTCCTCTGGATGGAAGTTGATTCCATACTCAGAAGAAAGAAGGGGAGGAAAAGGAGTATTACCTCACAGACAGCTGTTTTATGAAGTGTTTCTGGGTAGAAAAACATCACTCCATCAAGTGTCTCTGTATCAGAAAGGAAACTCTTAGAGAACACACAGACACCCTCTCCCCAGAGAGGCCAGTGAAGGAGGGAAGATCAGTCCCACACTGGCAGGAACGGGGTGACTGAATGAAGGGGGAAACTTTCTCCATCTTCAGCCGTGAACACTAGCCTACATCGTTTTGCTAAGATATCGAATGGAAATGTTTATCTACTTTAATGTTTTAATTAATTTTTTATAAAAATAGATAAACATTTCCATTCAATGTCTTAGGAAAAATAGGTAAAAAACAAAATTCTAAGTAAAGCAGACGGAACTGTATTCAATATCTTGTAATAACCTTTAGTGAAAAAGAATATGAAAACAAATATATGTATGTACATGCATGACTGGGACATGATGCTGTGCACCAGAAACTGACACAGTCACTGACTATACTTCAGTTAAAAAAAATAAATACCTTAAAGTCATTGACAGGTAAATCCAATAAAATGGGACTTCTCCTGAGAACCACCAGTAAAAGCCTCATTAGTTAGAAATGGAGTGGCTGGAAATAACTCTTTTCTCCATCACCCAACTCCC